ATATATATATTTACTGAGCTGAACGATATAGGCAGGAAGGGTCTTTGGCTTAAAACCAGGCTGCGTGGGTTGATAATGCAAGTGGTTGTGTCCATGTTGAAAGACTGCTCCATAACGTTAGGGTCCTTTTCTCTGAGGCCTGGGAGTCCTCTTTCCAGGGACAACTATCCATGTTAGTGCACGGTATTTCTTTTTCTCACTTTGTGGAGGGCATGTAGGTTAAAATGTTCTTGTAAAATCCCTTCTACCGATGGCAAATGTTGAGGCAGTTTACTCTGATGTGAGGGCACCGCAGCATGTTTCTCTTGGAGTCTCTGCATTGCCCTTATTCTTTCTACTCCCCCTGACCAACTCCCAGTATGCCTTAATTCAGGATATCAAACACCTCCTACCACCTGTGCTCATTCCCCTAAATGTCACCTGAGTCTTTCATTTCTGGGTCTCCCTTCCTCTCTGCTGTTCTTTTTTTTTGTTTGTTTGGTACCGGGAATTGAACTCAGGTCCAAGGCAGACCACCGAACCGCTGAGCTAAATCCCCAGCCCTGTCTCTGCTGTTCTGAAGCTGACTTGTACTTGCTCCCAAGAACTGGAACCTTTCTCTTATGGTGGGTGTATTTGTGCCATGGGCAAATGTGCCATCGGGCAAACACTACAAATGAGAGCTTCTCCACCTTCTGCTAAAGCCCACTGACCAGCCAATCACTGCACCATTTTGCACAACCTCTGCCCCACACTTTCTTCTGTAAAACTTCCCTTTGGAGGCTCCATTTCTTCAGGGCTGTGCAGTCTGATACTTTTTATTTTGTACTTGGTAGCCATCAAATTATACCATAAGGCTCATGACATGTGCTGGTAAGGTGCATTAGAAGGACCACAATTTGATCTCTCCTCTAACTCTAGCTCTTGTCAACTGTGTTACTCCAGGGTGGCCTCAGCAATTTTTCAAAGCCTCATGTTCCTCATGTATAAAACAGCCAACAGTCAAAGCTGACCTCACAGTGTTGTTTAATTGATAAAGTAAGGTGCTGCATGAGTGAAAGTGCTCTATCAATTCTAAGTCACTGTGTTGATACAGAGTATTGTTTTTTTGTACCTTTGAGGCCTCCAGAGACAAATTCTTTCTGCAGGTTTCATGGGAAGGACATCACTGGCAGCCACTTGCCCTGCCTTGGAGGGTCCTGGCTCCGGTTTGTCATTTGCAGATTTTGTGGGGTGAAAAATCAGTCTGGGAAGGACAGACGGAGCAGGTGGAAATGTTTCCTTAGCTCATTCTCGCTTACCAGCAGGTCAGCCAGGAGCCAGTCTCCTAGCCCTGAGCATCAGAGCCACAGTGACAACTACAGCCAGAGCAGGCATGCGAGCCCCTCTACCGCGGTAGCCAAGATCAGAAGCCCATCACCAAATCGGTCCAAACTGTCCAGTGTGGCTCGCAAGGCTGCCCTCCTGTCCAGGTTCAGTGACGCCTATGCGCAAGCTCGCCTGGATGCACAGTGCCTGTTGCGGCGCTGCATCGACAACACCGAGACCGTGCAGCGGATCATCTACATCGCCACTGTGGTATGTGATGTGGCCGGGGCCACAATACCAAGAAAAGGAATCCTTGGGGGCAGGAAGGTCATGGTGCAACTTTAAGACTGCGAGATCCTGAGGTCACTGAATAGAGGAATTCCGGAGCCTCCCCATCTGTCCCTTTCTCCTCTCCCTGCCTTCCTCCCTCCTTTCTTCTTTTCTTTTCCTTTCACCACAAACATGTGAGTGTGAATTGCTTTTCACAATCAGTAACCTTTTATACACGTACCAATAGTGATAGGGGCCAGATATTTGTTGAAGCAGCTCCCATGACTGCAGAACTGTCTCTGGTGGATAGACACAGAGTTGACTTGTGTGGTCCCTTTGTCTGTGAGCGCACGAGCACATGGTAGATATAGCACCGCAGATAGCTATCACTTGATTGGTTTCCTACAGAAAATCAGAGATTGTAATTGTGTTAACTCTTCTGTTTATTTAATGAAAAGTAGTTACTAAAACTGCCAATATATCAGCTACTTGAGTATGGCAAATTAAAAATGTACTTAGCCATGATCTTTTGTTTCCAAAGCGAATGTATTCCGTCTATGGGTGGGTGCCACGATAAGACATCGAGTCCGTGCTGAGAACAGTTAAATATGAAGAAATGAAAAAAACATTAGCGCAAGAGCAGAATTATCAGAAATCATGTACTTATTCATTTAAGCTATCTACGGCCTATGAACCATATCTGGACTTTGTATTTCTAAGAATACTGCCTAAGAGCTAAGAATTTAAGAATGGTTTTATATCTTTAGAGGTTTTAAGGAAAAAATATAGGATGGAGACTGTATTTTGCATGTAAAGCCTAATATTTACAGTGTGGTTTTTCATAGAACAAAGTACGCCAAGCCCTGGATTATAGAATTAAGAATCATCTTATTGAGTTGGTTACATCTGTGCAAGCATAGAGATCAAGTCTTTCTTACATAACTAAATGCCTGCTATATAATAGGCATAATGAAAAATTTTTATTAATATATTCCAGGAAACATTCTTGACTCTTGATATGTGTTTATGTATAAGATAAACACTAGATTGATAATTTTATTTCTTGGCCAGTGATATGATGTTGCTATGGACCGATAACAAGATTTATATTCTTGAATCTTTGTTCTTCCTATATTCAGAATTAAGAGAACAGGGTCAAACTGTCTTGAAATTAGTGGATGTGGATTTTCATGGAAGTATTCATGTACTTTTCAAATTTAAGGTGTGTTTTCTGTCAGATTAAAAATACTTTGACCAACTTCATATGTTTATCCAAAGACTAGCATGAAGTCAAGTTGTTTATTATTTTCTAATTTCTTTCTTGGGACCTCTATATCTTCCTCCTCTCACCAGGTGAATCTGCTGTGTTTTCATGTGCAGGAGGCATTCCATGTGGCTAAAATGGCATTTAGACATTTCAAGATCCGGGTGAGGAAGTCAATGAGTCCATCTTACAAGGGGTTGAATGACTTTGAGAATGCAGTCATGGACTACGTCGTTTGCCATCTTGATCTGTATGATTCCCAAAGCAGTGTTAATGTAGGTATTTGGATGAGTTGGTGACTAATGCAGTTTCTGTTGGGTACTGATAACTCAGGGATCCATCAAGTATTTAGTATTACTTTTCTATGTAATAGAAGAGAAAAAAATGGAGCAGCATTTAATTTACTTTGTGGCACTAGTCATTATTTATTTCTTTTTTAGACATTTAATGGAGGAAGCTGTTTGAGCTTTGTTGTTCTGATAGATGAGTCTTTAAGATTGAAAGATACCATAGTTCTTAAGAGCAAGGGCTTTGGGAAATAAGTGTGGATTTGCATTCTGACTCTGCCACTTGATTACTCTGCTTTAGTTTTTTAATCTTTATATGGGAACAATAATTGGCATTTTTCTCATAGAGTTAGTAAGAGGATTAAATGACAGAGAGCAGGTCATTTGCTTAGAACAAGACTTGATACATAGTGAACACTCAATAAAAGTAAGTTATTTTAATCCTTATTATGAATTAGGAACAAGTCAGAGTTCTATGTTGACACCTATACACTTACCCAGAATAGAAAAAACAAGAAAATTATAAATAAAAGCCACAGATATTTTTCCCCTTAGGTTTTTTTTTTTTTTTTTTTTTTTTTTTTTTTC